TTTCGTGGCAAGCTACTGTTAATTGCGGTGCAAGCAATTAGGGCTCTCTTTCTTACACTTCAATTGTATATATATAGGTAATGTTCTCTTTTGATCTCAACAACACATACAGAGAAATATTCAGAAAGCAAATTCTACGTTTGTCAAATCACAAAATATTCAGAAGACAATGGCAGAAAACGATGATATGGACCCAACGGTATACATATATCAATAATTTTTCACTATATAACATCTTACCAATTGCAAAAAGAAATAAACCGAGGTGTGAAGTTTGTTTGTTGCTTCTTGTTGTTTTTGTTTGAAGCAATACTTTGAGAACAGATCCAAGTATATTGCAGCAGAGAAGGCTAAGGGAGAGAATCCATACCCATACAAGTTTTCTCCGTCGATTACAATCTCTCAATACATTGACAACTATAGTAGTTTAAGCAAAGGTGACCATGTTGAAGACGACGACCAAGTATCTCTATTCGGTATGATCAATATAGAAAAAATTATTCAGTTTTTCATTGTAATGGAGTATGTATAATTTATTCGATTTTTTTGTGTAGGACGGATAATAAGCAAGAGATCTTCATCTTCCAAGCTTTTCTTTTATGATTTGCTTAATGACGGTTTTAAGGTCCAAGTTATGGCTGATGCAAGGTGATTAATTGAGTCACTTTAGAGTTTTAACTCTTAATTTGTTTCCTGTATTGTTTTTATATGAAGATTTCGCCTTTGTGTTGTTGCTTCAGTAAGTCAGGATTAGATGAAGCTGAATTTGCTAGGCTACATGCTAATGTTAAGCATGGAGATATCATTGGTGTCACTGGATTTCCAGGTTCACAATAAAATACTTGTATTCCCACTTGTTGGTTACGGTCTGTTCTGTATCTTTACCTGAATACACGCATAATTGTTCTCATGTCTCCAGGAAAAACCAAGAGGGGAGAGTTAAGTATTTCCCACGATCTTTTACGGTGTTGTCTCATTGCCTCCACATGATGCCGAGGCAAAAGGCCGGTCCTGGAGCCGAGGCAAAAGGCCGGTCCAATATATGGGTTCCTGGACAAGCTAGGAATCCAGAGACTTATATTCTTAAAGATCAGGTAATATCATTACCTTTCACACCAAACAACTATATATTAATTAACGTTTTTGAGAGTTTGGTTTCTTGGTGTCATGATCTAATACGTTTCATTTATGTCAGGGAACTCGTTATCGCCAGCGTTATCTTGACCTGATTCTGAACAGTGAGCCTCTCCAGATAGCCAAGACCAGAAAGAAGATAATCAGATACATCCAAAAGTACCTTGACGATCTTGATTTCATGGAGGTACATTGTTTCTCTTTTATTATTGCAATATATATTCTCCATTACAATTTGCGTCTCATCTTCTTAATTTTTCTTAGGTTGAGACACCAATATTGAAGAGGATTGCCGGTGGAGCTGCTGCGCGTCCATTTGTGACCCATCACAATGATTTGAATATGAAGCTGCCCATGCGTATCGCACCAGAACTCGATCTCAAGCAGCTTGTTGTTGGCGGTGTGAACCGTGTTTACGAGATAGGAAGGCAATTCAGAAACGAGGGTATTGACTTGACACACAATCCTGAGTTCACTACTTGCGAGTTCTATATGGCTTGTGCAGACTACTATGACTTGATGGACATGACTGAGGAATTGCTCAGCGGTATGTCAAAAAAACCTCTGCTTTGACCGAGTGCTTGCTATGTTTTACATTTTGAATCAAACTTCAGACATTTTCTTCCTGTTTTAGGTATGGTGAAGAAATTAACAGGTGGATATAAGATCAAATACCATGCTAATGGATACGATAAGGAACCAATCGAAATCGACTTCACTCCTCCATTCAGGTTCGGGAAATATCTTCATGGACAGAGCAGAAACAGAGCTTTTCTTGAAATGTATATCTTTGAGAATATTCTTACTTACTCTCCTTGTTAACTAATGTAGGAGGATTGACATGGTAGAAGATTTAGAGAAGATGGCCAATCTCGATATACCGAAAGATTTGGCTAGCGAGGAAGCTAACAAGTATCTGATTGATGCATGCGAGAGGTTTGATGTCAAATGTGCACCTCCTATGACAACTGCTCGTTTGTTGGATAAAGTAAATTTCTTTGGCTTTTAATATGAATTTGAAGTTATGTGATTTGGTTCATATGCTTATAATTAATTCTGTAATGTTTTCACTTTGTGAAGCTTGTTGGACATTTTCTAGAAGGGACATGTGTTAACCCCACTTTCATAATGAACCATCCGGAGATTATGAGCCCATTGGCAAAATCACACAGATCCAAGAATGGTCTTACTGAACGATTTGAGCTCTTCGTTAACCAACACGAAGTAAGCTTTT